CGTCATACAATACACGTTGAAAAATATTTGATATGAAAGTAATAAGGCTTCACGAACTCACTGCATTTGCATTCTCAATTGCTATTACCCAGGAATGTACTTCTCACACAGAGAAGTCTGGACCTCTACGGTTGTTTCTTTTAAATGTAATCATGGATACGATCTCTAAAAATGGAGAGAGAGAAACGCCATACAGGACAATCTGTGTTAGCATGGTCTCCCTGACTGAAGGGGGTTGTAAAGGAAAAAAAAACTCAACCAGTAACACCGAATAGCTACTGACTGATTAGAAGATAACAATTTTCTGACAGCAAAAGTTCACTTAACCCCTGAATGAATGCAAAAGGATGTACTGAAGACCAAAGTAGTCCCACGTGAATTACACTTAAGACTTTGGGAAATAATTTGATAGCATGTGGGTCCTGTTAGGTCCACAGAAGGTGCATACTTACTTATTACTTCATTCCCCTCTGCTTTCTACATGTTTTCTGTATAACATTGATATAAACCAGGTATCTCAAACTCCACGTAAGGTATAGGTCTATATGATAAACTTTCTAGTGATTGAGGTTATAAGGTTAATACCAGAACGGCAAAATTCTCCAAAGAGGAGCAATGGAAACACACAGTATATGCTCAAAATGGAAATATGAATGTTCTCTTCCCATCTCATATTTTTTCATGGCAGCCTTGAGAATCAGGTGGGATGCAATGGTAAATATGAGGTGTGCAACCCATCTATCTCAGCTGGATTAATTTCAGTCACACAGTCCAGTAGTTATCTTTGCCCTTGCAGCTATGCCAGCTCTCTCTGTCCTCACCACGAACTACAGCCTTTAGACAAGAAATATACTCCCCCAAAGTCTAAATCCAAAACACTCAGACCCATTAAAGTTTTCCCCTTTTCGTCTATTAAGAACAAAGAACACATTACATTTTTCTATGTGAAGTATGCTATTAAATAATAGCTTGTACACTAATTAAAGCAAATGTAATTGTGAGAACACACTGACATTGTTAAAGTAAATTACCCAATTCGTTAATAGTTTCATTTCAAGTGACCTTAATTGTATTAATTGTGATATTGAGCAAATTAAATTGAAGAGTATTAAATGCATTGTTCCAGTCTGTCCTTAGAGGATCAACCTTCTCATTACACCAATGAAATGGGAATACTACCTACTATGCTCTTCAAAACTTGTGTCAGAATGTGGTGAGCGCTATAACTTAAGAGTAAAAATTTACGGCTGCTCAGAAACAGTTAACCTAGTTATCCCGTTCCAATGTAATATAAATCTCAAGCATTTTGAAATGAACAAAACAGTTTGTCAGATGCAATACACAGTGAGAAGGTAGAAGAATAAAGTTTCTTTAATTTCTCTTCATATATTCAGGGTATATAAAGTCTCTGCTGGAGACAAAAAAGCCTAAGATTCACCAGTTTCTCTGATAAAGATCCCTATTTCAGAGGGAAGCATTCAAAAATATTGTTAGACTAATATGGACAATACAACGATGAATGTTGGAACAGAAAATGTAGAAAGATACCATCAACTTACTATAGTCAAAAGCAAACATAACAATGCACGTATATATATATCAATGTAAATTAAAATACAACCAGATCCAGAAGATATAATCCAAAATTAAAATTTCTTAAAAGAACTAAAATCTTCCGTTTGAAGTATCAGATTGCAGAAGTGAGAATCTCTGCCACAAATTTCTTATCAACTACTAAAAATGTTACTCAAAAAAAGCATATATGAGCGCATATATGCAGTGCACATTTTTCTATCTTGAAAAAAAATCAGACACAAGGAAAATAACATGCGTCAAATCAACCATCAGAAAAAGACTGAAATACTATGTTATCTCGGGTTTTTTTGAATATTTTAAAGGGATAGAAAAAAGATCTTGACTGTCAATTAGTTAACAGCCTATCCTGATTTTTTTAACTTGCAAACAAGCACATTCTCATGACTCATCATAACTCAAAATTCAAAGTTCCTCAGTTACACAATTTGGAGTGCTATGAACGCCCAGATCTTTCTCCAAATGACACTTACCTCATCTGTAATGCTCTACTTTTATTTGTTCAGCTAGCTAATTGTCTCCTGCCTAGCATTTGCAACATTAAACCTCGCAGCTGTTCCTACTGAACCATGTCTCATTCTTCTCAGGCCACTTCCCCAAAATCTCAAGAACACTTTGAATTGTGTGTCTGCCCTCCGTTGTGCTAACAGCCCTGCACCAAATAAACCGCGTTTTCTCTCTATACCTTCACTGAGATTTTAATAAAAGAACTGAGTACTACTAGACTCAATCAACATATTTCTGGAATCCCATCCAATATATCCTTTCAAGCTGACAGCAAATGACCAAGAAGTAGTCTATGCATGCAGTTTTCCAGCCAGCTATACTTAACAGCAATCCATGTATTTCTGAGATTTCTCTCATTTTATGAAAATGTCGTATGAGAGAATTTCAAAACTCCAGCTGGACATGACATCTCCTGTTATCCGTCAAGTTTTGGTATCAGTCGCACATACTAAAAATACAATACTTTGTGCAGATTAACAAATCTGACTAGCTCTATGATTAAACATTTATTTTCAGTCATCTCAGTGAAGACTTCTATCACTTTGCCTCCAATGTAATACTTTAAGCATTCAACACAGCTCCAAAACCCAATTCAGACGTCCTGATATTCCACACTATTGCATAGAACATCTCCGACTGATGGACCACCTCTCCTCCATACTTCTATGATACATGATACAGAAGGCTTTAAGATACAGATTTTCACCAAGTTGATTATGTATCATGCCTGAAACTTGAGGCCAAGTTGAAAAACCTTCTCTTGAAATACTTTTGTGAAAACAATGATGGATGGACTGTATGGACAGGAAAGCCTGTATACTTTGACCTACCACCATCTAAGCATATGCTTTATTTAAAATTAAGTATCAAAACTTCAAAGACTTATTTTGGGTATATAAAGTTTCAAATTAAAATGCAGTATGTGATTCACAGTAAAAGAACTTATGAAGATGAAATGGATGCGTTATATAAAATATTTACATAGATAGAACATAAAAAAATGTACCATAGTTGGTAACCTTTATGACTTGGGGAACCATGTATTTACATATCTTTATCTTCGCATGTGCGTATGTGTGTGTTGTGTATATATTTTTAACAGTTGACAGCTGTTTTAGAGCATACAGAGATGCCAAGCTGAATGAGGGTCTTGATTACTTCAAGATTAGCTATCTAAAGTTTCTATTCATTTTAAGTGTTGTTAGTGCGAAGAGTCATTAGTCACTTCCTTGTCTCATAGAACATCAGCATACATTTACATTGTTAATGAACATTTGGGGTAAATGAATTAATGGCACTTTTAAACATCAATTCAATACTAATAACTTTGTATGTCATAGAAATGTTAAGGTTGGGATAAAAATGAGAAACCTTTTCAGTCAAGGTAACTAATCGCTTCTGGGCACAATAAAGGGTAAAATTAATTTACACTGGGTTTTTTTAACAGTGAAAAATCTTGTTTTTCCTTGAAGCAGAGTTGAGAGAATTACCAGTACTTTTTTAAGGAAAAAATCAGAAGGAAATGCTTATCTTTTTCTTGATTGGGGTAGACTAGAAGCAAGCTATATTTCCTCTGGAAATTGGTTATTATTTTAGGTTATTGCAAAAGATTATTTTCAAGTTTCTAAGAATATGTACAAAACCGCATTTAGTTTATCAAACTAAAATTGCTCCATATCGTTAAGATGTCAAATGTAATAGAGGAGCAACACTGACCTAGAAAAGCTATTTCATTTAATCGTCAGGTTTTAAAATACTTCCCCCTAGATGTTCATTCTCATTTTCTAACATTGAAAAAGCTTTATAAACGAATGAAGAAAAAATGAAAAAAAAAAAAATTAGCTCAAAGGGACAATGAAGTTTTACCAATATATTTTAAAGCAAAACATCAGCTTCTTATAAACTGAAGTAATAAACCTGACTAAGCAAAACTTGACATAGCTTTTTTAATAAGCACTAGTAAACAGAAGATTTATAGACAGATACACCCACACAGAGCAGTTGATCTGTGTGAGGGACTTAGGAAATGTGACAAAATTGTTTCAACTCTGTAATTTAAAATAAATTTTTTATTTTGCCCTCCTGGTACATGTGTTCAATGACTGGAAAATTACAGGTAGTTAAGGTGCCACTGCGTATAATTGAGTACTTGAGGAATGTTTTCATGACAAGGACGAGCTTTCTCGTTAAGCTTATCACTTTCTTCGAACTAACTATACTGTCACTACTAGCAAATAAGTAGAAAAGACAAGCAACACAGACATGCATTGCATTATGCAAGCAGTTTGTTCTCACTGTTCATTAGAGTCTTCCAAATACTGCATTTAATTAATTTACTTAAGGTTACATAGTAATTTCTGCCTTTAAAGCCTGTTCATTCTATCTCAACTTCCAGGTTTTTTTTTTTTTAAATAAAAATATAGGTGCTGAGTCAAACAAAACCAAAAGGGAAATCAGCTTTTTTATTTGCATAATCTCATCCAAAATAACATACTGAACTTTACTGAAGAATTAAAAAAAAAAAAAACCAAAACAAAAAAAAACACAGAAAAAATCCCTGAAACCAAAGCAGTGTAAGAGCCCATGCTTGAGAAAGTAACACAAAGCCATGCTGCATTTCCATATTCTTATGCTGAAGTCAGTGTTTGGTTTATGATTAAAAAAGGATGACAGCGCATTAAACATTTGGCTAATGTTTCTGTCTGTAATTGAAAGTTGACTTTTCGTGGTTTTCATTAGTGTCAGAGTGTTCTACACATACTCAGTGAAATGTTCTTTAAGTTGCCCTGTTCAACTTCATTGAGAGAATTAAACAAATTATGACAGGTACAGTTATCGTGACACACTTCTATAAGGTTTCTACGTAGAAAGTCAAAAAAGTACAGAAATACAAAACTCACCTTCCCCTGGCTTGTTCAAATAACTCTGCAAGGGATCGATGCCTATTTCTTGTTCCTCTGTTTGCAAAGGGTGACTGGTTTCAGACACAGAATGATACATACTGGCAATAGTAAATTCCAACTCAAGGGTATTTATCTGGAGGAAAAGAAAGAGAGAAACAATCACTTCAGTGTTTCTTTAGCTATTTTTCAATCACACAAGTCAACAGCAAAAATGCTTACAACCTTTCCTTATTTTCCAGGCATAACATCACCATTAGATGTCTAATAGCAGAACGACAGTGTTTCCATTCAAATATTTTATTATTTGGAATCCAAAAGAATTGTGATAGTACCTCCAACTACCACACTGCAAATGAAAGTCCAAGTGTGGTTTCGACAGACTGTGAAGTGGGGCAGGAGCCTCATTCCTTCCTTTTTCTAGCTCACCCACCTCATCCTTTAGTCTGATTCCAGGGAGACCTGATGCTAGTCCTTGGGGATGATGAAGGTTATAGAGCAAAGCTGAGGTGAGACCCATCATCATCACTCTTCTGGACTCAGGACCTCTTATCCTAGAAAAATTTCCTTTTAACCCCTACTTTTTCAGAAATCCTACGTCAAACATAAGATAACAGAGAGAGGGACGCAAACATGTGCAAAAAGAGAGAATGAAATAATACTGACTCGCATGATGGCTGATTTTGGTTTTATCAAGATTTATATTAGCTTTCTATAAAGATAGTGTTAAGGAAGCATTTGAAGAAACATAATCAGCTAGCTAATGAATATTTACAAAGAAGTTCTTCCAAAAATGAAGGGCAAAAGGGGAGAAAGCAGAAAACTGAAAACCCAGGAAGCAGGTGACGCGGGTTCACCATCACAGGCTGTGATAGCATGTGAATGGCATTCACATCACTACCACATAAGCAAACAAGAACTATGTTAGAAGTTCATGAGAGGATTGTTGCAAGCTAATACAGGCTGCAAGAAATAAGAGGATGCCAATAAAAGGCTGAAAAGCAGATGGTGTTATAGTCAGTGCAGTAAGAAGGAAAAACGACCTTTCCAGTGCATTAGCAGTGCAAGAGTATTTGTTAAGACTGCCTTTTGGTCACTGTACAGCAATTTATTAACTTGCAACACAAAAGTACTATGCCAGCCAAATAGGTTTGATTTGCCCAAGCACACTGAGTAGCTACCTACGACTGCCAGGTGAGTTTTAAATATCACTTACTGTAACTGCTTAGTTTACAAGCACCATAACTTTCTAACTCCAAGAAAATTGTATTTACAAAGAAATATCCAAAGAGAAACACAAAGAGGTATGTACCTACACTTTCAGGATCGTTATATTATCAATTTAGAAACCACTTCAATTACACTTTTCGTTTGCTTATACAAGGCATGGCATTGACCATATATGCTTTATACCTTCTGTTTAGTGTCAGTAAATGAAGGGGTACTGGGATTATTAAGAACTTTCTAGTTTTATACACTATTCATCTGCTTCATTTTCCTACTAACCTATGTGAAAAAAAAAAAAAAACCAACAAAACAGACTAAATAATAAACAGAGCTCATTGAACATTTCCTTCAAACCAATGAACCCAGACTGTTTCCGAAAGGATGCGCTCTCAGCTGTACTCCCTGAGGGTTTTCTCCTTTATTTGCCCCGGTACCTGTGTTAGTGAGGTGCTGAAATGATCACACCATCATCTCTCACTAGTTTTTAGCTAGAAGAGAACATCTGAAGCTCTTGGGAACAAGGAGCCAGGAACGGAAGGCAGGACTGCCCGCTTTCACAGTGGTACATCCCTATGTCAAAGTATTACAATCATACAATCATATGATAAAACACAGAATTGCCTTGAACAACTTTAATTTATAAACCATAATAATGAAAAATGCATGCAGGGTAACTTGGAGAAAAACATTTATAAACTTGTTAGTCACTTAAACAACATTTCAGTGTTTACCTGCAGTTTTATGGCTACATATAGAGATGTTTATAACTACCTGATATCTTAAATAAATAAATTAAATACTTGAAAGAATTTACTTGGGTTTTTTTTAAACAAACAAACAAACAAAAACTTTGCAGAAAGAGATGTTTATAATTTTCTCCTGCTGGAATTCTAGTTGCTGCTCTTGTTCTCTTTACTAGATCATTGTAATTACCTTTCTACTGATCTGTTGATTTTGTCTCCACAAAAATTACACGCTTATTTCGAACTGTGCTGCCAGAGATTAACTTTTTATTTTTATGGTCCTTCAGACACTGCTACGTGATCTGACCAAGGCATCACCCACGTGCCTTTCAAACTGAGAACCAGGCACAAAATGACCCTACCAGCCTTTGTAGTCTCAGCAGCCACCACTTAATTAAGACACAATATGCTTCAGACTTATATCATCTTATATTAGCAATTCAGTATGAAATTAGCTCTACCAAGTTTTTTCTTCTATGTTATTCTGTTCTGTATCCACCTTCTTTTTTTTTTTTAAATACTCCCCAAATGTCATGCCTTTACAACATATAAGAGCCATAATTTACTTTACAGACGGTTACAGCAGTATTAAACAGCTGAATAGATTTACTTTTGATACTCGCACAGTGATTTAATCAGTTACTTGTGTTTGTTTACGGATACATTTGATTAGTGTTAAAAAAAATATCACTACCTATTAGTCTTGTCACTCCTTAGTCCAAGCAATTTTCTTTACAGTTTTATACTTAAGTTCTTCTCAGCTCTTCTAACAAAGAGCAAATTAAACAATTATGATTACACTTGGGATCTTAGAGACAGATTAATTCTTTACAGGTTTGTGGTTGATTTGTAATGGCCTGTAACATATTGTTCATATTAAATAAGATGCAATTTAAAAGCATTCTCAATGTGAAACAATAAAAATGTTATAAAAATCTGAAATTCAATTATTAGACTACAAGACTCAATACTGGCTATCTAGTTGAACCCTAACATCTCAGTCAAAACTAAAAGTAAGTCTTTTATCTATTCCTACTTTTTTTTTCCCTCCAAAGATGAAGGGCTAATGTCATGATTTCAGCTGAGATAGAGTTAACTTTCTTGCTAGCAGCTGGTGTAGCGCTGTTTTAGATTTGGGATGAGAAACAGTGATGATAGCACACTCATGTTTTTCATTGTTGCTAGGCAGTCAAGGCCTCTTCTGCTCCTCACCCCACCCCACCAGCGAGCTGGCTGGGAGGGCACAAGAAGTTATGAAGGGACACAGCCCGGACAGGCGACCCCAACTGGCCAAAGGGGTATAGAATCATAGAATGGTTCGAGTTGGAAGGGACCTGGAAGATCATTGAGTTCCAACCCCTCTGCCATGGGCAGGGACACCTCCCACTACACCAGGTTGCTCAGAGCCCCATCCAGCCCGGCCTTAAACACCTCCAGAGTTGGAGCTTCCACAACTTGTCTGGGCAACCTGTTCCAGTGCCTTACCACCCTCATCAAAGTGAAAAATTTCTTCCTAATATTTAATCTAAATCTACCGTCTTCCAGTTTGAAGCCATTCCCCTTCATCCTATCACGACATGCCCTTGTAAAAAGTCCTCCCCCAGCTCTTCTGTAGGCCCCCTTTAGGAACTGGAAGGCTGCCATAAGGTCTCCCCAGAGCCTTCTCTTCTCCAGGCTGAACAACCCCAACTGTCTCAACTTTTCCTCACAGGAGAGGTGCTCCAGCCTTCTGATCATCTTCCCAGCCCTCCTCTGGACCCACTCCAACCAGTCCCTGTCTTTCCATGCCATATGACGTCATGTTCAGTATATAAAGCTGGCGGAAGAAGAAGAAAGGGGGGACATTTAGCATGATGGCATTTGTCTTCCCAAGTAACCATTACACGTGATGGAGCCTGCCTTCCTGGAGATGGCTGAACACCTGCCTGATGATGCGAAGCAGTGAATGAATTCCTTTTTTTGCTTTGCTTGTGTGCGTGGCTTTTGTTTTACTTATTAAACTGCCTTTTATCTCAACCCACGAGTTCTCTCACTTTTCCTCTT